AAGTTGTTAATAAAAACAAATCCAAAAGCCGCAATAAAATTTTACATTTTGCTCATAAATATTGATGAGCGAATAAGTATTTAAGAAATGAGTTAATTAAAAATTTATGTTTCAAGTATCCTTAAATACCGAATAATTTGTTGAAATTGTTTAAGAGCTCCGAAATGCTCATACAAATATTCTGAATATTGAAATACTTAGAAGTAATAAAATATATTTTGCTTGATTGTTTCCAAAACTGTCCGCCTACAAACCCTATCAATAGTTGATAATCTTAAAAACAAATCAGTTTATAGATTAAGCAAGACAACTTGGGATAAGTCGGACAAATTGTTGGCATTGTTCAAATGTAACTGTTTGAGGTTCCCTCGGTTTTTGTTGTATTTGTATTATATGGTACCCAAGTGAACGTGACACATCTTCATATCCCATATAATGACTGTCACGCACATCCTTAACACTTGTTCGCTGTAAATTCGAGTCAGGAACCGCACTTTTCCACACATTATCAGTGTTTCCAGCTGCAAACGGAAGTGCGCGCCCGGCCATTATTTTGTGGTATTGTTGGTCAAAATCGACAATCGACTGCCTCTAATAGAGACTTCAATGGCCCAGCAGCACACGTACTTAGCGTGTCCAAACAGTTTTCCGGCTAATTGAGTTATGAGCCAAAACAAAGACAAACAAACTAGGAACAAGATCGATTACGATCGCCCAATACAATATCATTTACAACGTCAACCTTTCCCAGAAATGGGAAAGAGCGGACAAGTGCAGCATTGTGTGGCCAGAATTGCAAGTGCAGCAGGTAAAACAGCTACCAAGTTCTGGGAAGCACAATTTAGTTCTCCAGGGAGAGGTGAGAGTGAAAGTGTCGGCTACCAGAGATGCTTATCCCTGCCACAGTACACCTGGTGGCGCCTAACGGTGCCTCGACAGACAGAGAGAGGAAGAGAGAGCAACCTCTTTGGTATGGGCAGCTCGTCAACTCGACTTGGCGACTTCTCACAAATGGTCACAACAATAAATAAGCGCACCCAAATTATAATATATATAACAAATTTTTGTTTGACTTTTAATGACAGGCTATATATATATATATATATATATATATATATATATATATGTAGGTATATATAAGAAATGCAAAGCACGCAAGCTTTGTGGGTTTGTTTATGGGACAGTTTGCATGACTGAAATATTTCTGGTATTATTGATTACCAACATTCGCCAAATAAATGGCTCTTTAACTACTTTTGGGGGCCTGACAAATGTGCGAGGTAAGTGAATAGCTCTACCCAATCGCTCAGTCAGTCAGTCAGTCAGTCAGTCGAAGAGCCGGAGCGCCAGTTGGCCAGACATTAGACATTGTAACAGCCCGGCTGCTCCCTGACTCTAGTGCTTATTTGCATTGGACTCGGTCTCGGGATCGGCCACAGGTTCGGGTCGGGACTTGATAACAGAGAACATCGATCGCTCCAAACTACAGAGCGGAATAATTTAAAAAAAACTGCGTTTATTTGAAGCGTTGCGCACAAAAAAAAAAAAAAAACAAAAACAAAAACAAAAAAACATCCAAATAGAAAATGAAATAAAAATAAAAACGCGATCGTCTGTTCGTCAACCGCAACAGTAACAGCAAGAACAACAACAACAACAACAGCAACAACAACTACTTCTACAGCTACAACAATAAGAATAAACAATATAAATGGCCGCATCGGAATTGCTAATTTGTTATTGAGTTTGGCTGGGCCCGCTTTGGGTTTTGTGTGCTGTGCGCTGTGGAGCTTGGGTCTGGGTCTGGGCCGAGGGCCTCGAACACGTTGGGTTCCTGGTACGTTCTGTCCTCTGCCCCTCTCTCGCTCTCTCTTTCGCTCTCTATGTATCTATCTGTCTGTTCGACTGTCCCCCCTCTGACAACATTTTTGATTTTTGTGCGACATTTTTGACATGCGGATGTGCCATGTTAACGAGTCTCCGAGTCGCCGAGTCTCGAAGACAACTGTTTCCAAAATTAGGCCCCGGCAAAGCTGCTCAAAGCACAGCTGCAAACGCTTTCACAAATGCACAAATCCTGAGCCCAGAACAAATCCTTTGCCATTTACAATAAATTGAATTCGACCAATGCTGTTGCGGTCAAGCAACCGACTGCCCCCGCCCCTCCCCCCCCCATCTTCCTCAACAGCCCTCGCTGAGAATCAAAGTTGCAACCAACCGGGCGAAATGCTTCAAAACCGCAGGAAATTCGTCGAATTTGCCATGCGGTAAACTTGTGGCTAAGCCAGCAAAAAGGATGCACAAGGAGCAGTCCTTGCTGCAGGCCATTGTTCTATGTGTGTGTGTGTGTGTGTGTGTGAGAGTGTGGCCTGGACTGTGCATCTGTGTGCGCCAAATGCCGAATGCGTTGGCGTATGCATAATTGATGCGAATGTTTGCGGCAGGGCCCAGCTTAGAATCCGGAGATAGTTCTCATAATTGAGTCGAGCTGCCCTTACCCTTTGAAAAAAAAAAGACAGCAAAGCCAAAAAACTCAGCAAACCGAGTAAAAGAAGCTGCTGGCAAAATTGCAGAGCAACAACAAAAAGTGCAAAGTTCATTTGGCAAGCTGAGATTTTTGCATTTGTTGTTGTATGCATCGAGAATATAATTAAAAGCGGCTTCATAGTTTGCTCTAAAGTGAGTAAATCATATTGAAGTTGCTTAAGTTATAGAAATAGACGCACAAGATCAATTAAATAACTAGTATATAGCACATCTATGTCAATAGCTAAAGAAGCGACTATAAAAAATGTCGACACACCCATAAAATTCCATTTTAAAATAAAATTGTCTTGCTTAGAGCAAAGAACTAAATCCCACACAATTTTACAGTTACTTCCAGATTTCTTCTATACCAAATTGGTACATTTTTTTTATTTTCTACGGCGCCAGCGTAGCCATTGAAATAACTCATAAAAAACGCAACTGCCCGCAGAACCTGGCAATCTACAATGGTTTTTATGTGGCTCAAGCGTTACCTAGATGGTTTATTTCACCTTCCCCCTGGGCCAAGCAGCCCTTGAGTTGTACCCGGTAGAGCAATAAATTAATCAAAACTCGAGTGCGACTTCAATTGTAAACGAGTATTTGGTTTTCTTTGGAAAATCGCAGCTCACACCTACGCGTGTGTGTTGGGCAGAAAGATCTGTAAATGATTTGTTTGACAACAAACACAGTGGGACACATTCTCTGGACCTTTCGCAGAAAGGTAGCAGCCTCGTCTACCTATCAGTGCAAATGATCGAACACAAAACATTGTGGAAATTGCAGTCGGAGATTATCAATATCGTCATCGTCGTCGTCGTCGTCGTCGTCGTCGTCGTCGTCGTCGTCGTCGTCGTCGTCGTCACCAGACGTCGCCAGGCAGCGCCTGTGTGGCCGCTCGAGTGGGCATCATTAACCTTTTAAATGCCAACAAAAACATCGAACGGACAAGGGAACGGAGCTGAGACCTCTCTCTCTCTCTCTCTGCGAAATGTCAAACGTCATGGCACTTATTGATGTTTGCTCAATACTATAGACAGACCCGGCTCGTCGTCTCGGCCCATTCCTGTGATCTTATTAGGCAGCCATATGGGCCTGCACAAAGGGGTACAAACAAAAGGACACCAGAAGCGAACGGCGACACACGCGCACACCAATTATCACCCACCCCCATCGGACTATTGCCTCGCCTCCGCAGCCATAAGTTGGGCATAAAGTCAAACGTCATCGTTGACAGGCGAGTCATTGCTCAATGAGAGCCCTCGGCATCGTCTCAGTGTTAATGAATAAGCAAAACAATAAAGTAAGGCCATGTAATTTCAACAAAACGTTCCTTTCCGATCTGATTGTGAGGGCTGGTCGAATGACATACGTTTCAAAGTATAATATATATTCGATACGAAATAAGTTTGACGGGGGAATCTAATTAATCGAACGACTACTGGGATGAGCTGAGGATTAGAGATTTACTTGGAACGGATATGAGCATTTCGTTTAATTCCTTTAAATTGGCTACTGCAATGAATATATATTTTGTGCATGAGACAGCAAACGAATCAACAGCTAGGCTTGGCATTCATTATTTAAGAATAGGTTTTTCTATTTAACAATTTATCTTGGTAATCAGTTTTCATATCAAATATATTTAATTCGAATTTAACTGCTTTAAACTGCTTGCCGTTTGTGTGTAGAAAGCAGTGTGTATACATTAAAAATGAACTGCTCGTGTACACTGCTTGCCTTTAAACTCATCCTAACAAAGTAAAGCAGTGGCTGTTAAAACACACAGCTCAAATTTATGCAGTCGTTGTGATTCTTTCACATTGGAATTGAGTTTTTCCATTAATATAAACAACCATGTCTTTCCGATATCCCGCCGACATCACACATTATAATATGCTTCAGGTATCTCCTATTCGAACAAACTTAAGCCTTTAACTTTGTCAAAACGGGAATCAGCAGTTTTTGTAGAATATTAATATTGTTTGCCTTTCATAACATTTTCGAGAAATGTTAAGTAACATTACATCAGTAACATTACCGCCGTTAATAGTGTATGATTTCTATCCCTGTAAAGAGTTCTTAAGTAGATTTGCGAGTTTGGCCAAACCACAGATCCATGCTTCTGCAAACATCACCCAATCCCAGCCCACAAAAGGCAACAGTTTGACTATGCAACAATGCCGACAATAGATTTCCATGGAAACCCGGAAAATTCCGCAGTTGTTTATTTTGGATACGACGCAGCCAAACACAACAAATGTCGAGAAAAGCCAGCAATTCCAGAAATATATTTATAAATTTTTATTTACAAAGTGCATACTTATCAAATACGATCAACAGGCTTTGTAAAATGTGTCGGCCTACAAGCTTTTTATACTCTTTATTTTAGCTACAACCACAGTAGAAAAATATAAGTTAAAATTATATATATATATTAAAAACATAGACAATAAGTGTGAAGAACCATAACAATGCCAACGATTCCAAAGCGTGTGCCCATGGGCAGCAAGGGCAACGGCCGCGGCATGGACCTACTCAGCACAGGAGTAACACGCACAGAGGTCACGGAGATGCAGCTCAAATGGCAGGACAAACCGTGTGAGGCGCCACCCTGCAAACAGAGCTTCTGGTGGGCCAGCCAGCCAAAGCCCATCAAAATCAAAGGTTGTCCCAAGTAAGTTTGCACAGATTTCTGGGTGGGCCGTAGACCCAAAGGGGTCAAATACCATACTATAGCCCGGTGAGGTCAATGAATTCAGTAGCCGTCTTTGCCGGCTGATTGACCAAAGAAAACAGAAAACGAAAGTTTTGTCCAGAAGCAGCCGTCATAAATTGCGTAAATCAATTATTTAACACTTGGTGGCATGTTCACCTGCCAGCCAAGGCACGCAACAATGAGCACAGGAACAATATGGCATCCGTATAGACGAGTGGCTCGTGTTGAATATTTGGAGCTGAAAACTGAAATTGACGCAGTTTGTAGCTATAAATGTCGTTAAATGCAAAAATAGACAAGCTAACATTGCGATAATTGTGACAATCGCGGGTCATATAAAGGTTATTTAAATGATATAGCTATGAAATATGAAGCGAGACTTCCATTTAAAACTTTCCCAAGTTTTCCTTGCACTTTGCTTTGATTCGTGCAGCTGATTTTGCACGACCTTGGATCCAGGCTTGGGCTTAGACCTAGGCTTGTCATATAATTAACCAATTATTATAAAACATTTCAGTTTTCTTAAATTAATTCTGCCCCTTGTACTGAGAATATTGCATGCCGTAAATATTTTCATATTCAATTTGCGGGCTAAATTTGATCTCCACCCAAAGTTGCCATCTACCAAATATGGTTAGATTAAAGGAAACTTGGGTGCCAAAGTAATTTATACTTTGGGGGTGGGCAAATTCTTTTTGTGAATTCGACTTGAATTTAATAATGTGACCTCCTCTTAAGCTTCATATATATTCTCTGGTAATAATATCTTTTATGTGTCTACCTTTATGGAACACAATTCGCGCTTTTATCTGGAAATCTAGATCAAGGAGAATTATCCTACACGCCACTAAAAAGCACAGATCATATTTGAAGATAGCCTAATTGAATATAATATATAGAGATAGAGGTATGTTGTTGACATATAGCCAACTAGTTGATTGCCCTTGAAGATAGCGTCTCCTTTCGAAAGCTTTGCACCTTTGACCTTTGTGGCAGCCACGCCTCCCATGTGCGACGCGTCGATAATTCACCAGAAAAAGACTTGACCGCTTGAGGACTTCATTAATTCCGCTTATCAGTGGCACACGACAACTGCTTAAGGTGGAGCTTACAATTGACCTTGGCCATTGACTTCGCCGCAGGAATGGGAACAGGCACAGGCACAGGGACAGGGCGATTCCGAGTAGGCGCCACCCACCTACATTTCAATGTCAGCGAAATGCGTGAAGTCATCTCCGCTCTAGGGTGCGAGGGCTGTGGATTAACGGAAATGCGACACTTGGCTAAAACACCAGCCGTACAGCTTTGGGCTGTGCCAATTTCAAGGACACGCCACATAACGAGGTGGACAGCCAGGAAACGTTTTTAATTGGAAACACGACCCAGCTTGCGCCAACTTTTGCCGAACTCAAGTGGAGTACATAATGCGGCATGCAAATGGCTTTGGCTTCTGGCTAAAGCGAATTTGGCGCCGTTTCAAGTGTGCGGCAACAGTCGACACAGGCAGTTAATTGTTGGCATATGCGAGTCCCCAACACCGAGCCGACCTAAGCTGGTGGCCGGTGGCAACTCCTGCAGCTGTTGGGCTGGGGGGGAGCCACCCCGCCGAGTGACCAGCGGAGGCATGCGATGGCCGAGCTCCGACCGAGGGCCGAGTGCTGCGGTCATTTGGCGTTCGCCAGTCGAACAGTGCGGTACAACGCGTGCTCCTTGCCGTCCACCAGGCCGGACACGGGCAGGACAGGGCAACGAAAAAAAACATAAAAAAAGTATTGATTAACTTTCTTGTGTGTCTACACAATTGTGGCTATTTATACGCGGGCAATGCGTGGTGTGGAGCAAGTGTGATTTGTAAGACAACGCTAGAGGATCATGCCAGAGTCGAACCGCAGCCCCAAGCAGCACATAAATCCAGAACACTTCCCAGACAATAGACCGGAGCAGCCGACCAAGACAGAGCAGCGTGCACAGAACTTCTCCTTTGCCACCAGCTATCCATATGCACCAGGACGCAACAGCAGCAACAACAACAACAACAACTACCACAACTACAACAGCAGCAATTATCCAGTCTACAACGTGCAGCGCTATCAGAGCCCGTACAATTTCCAGCACGTGGTCACCAACGCGTTCTCCGTGCTGCACAACTCCGTGGAGCTAGACTACGAGCAAAGCCCTTACAACAACAAGCCCAATCAGGCCATAGTGCGTCCCATAATACGTGAACAGGCGACGGAACATGTAGATCAGCCAGCCGTTGCCGCCGCGGGCAGCGTTTCGTCCAATCCGCCATTGACGACGCGTTCGTTCTTCTCGCGCAGCACACAGGAGGTGCGCAGCTTTGCCGATGAGCTGAGCCAGAAGCTGCGCTTCCTGGCGCCGGAGGAGAACTACGCAGCCGGTGCTAGCAGTCGGAGCAGCGCCGGCACCGGCGCCTGGCTGGCCACAAAGCAAATGGAACGTCCACGCTTCGAGACGACGGTGCCCACGGGCATATTTCTGCCGCCGCCGCATGAGCTGCAGATGCTGCCCGCATCCATGTTGCGGCGCCATGTCTATGCCTACTCCTCCTACCCCATGATCCTGCACAGCTACTACAATGCCAACAACAACAACAACAACAATAGCCAGAACAAGGACACCAGCCGCCAGATATCGTTAGCTGATAAGGAAAACAAAGCCTCCACTCGCCAGAACGGAGTGCGTGCCACGGCCGCTGTAGCAGCCGCCGCTGCGGCTGCCTCGGCCTCCAAGCCCGACTCCCAATCCCTGGCCGGTGGCCTGCACATAACTAAGGCGCAGTTCCAGCAGCAGCTGCAGCAGCGACGCAACAACGGCGACAAGAGGTAATAAAAACTTGCCCCCCCCTCCCTACCAAACCCCAAGCCCCAACCACCGAACATGGGCTAAATACAGCACAAAATATTTCCATAAATTCAAATGCGAATCAAGGTGGAGGCGGGGAGCGTGGGCCACACACTTTGGGGCTGTCCAGTGGTGGTTCCGTGGCTTGGTGGTTACTCAAGCAACCTGCTTATCGATTGCGGCGTCAACATTTCAATTTGAAATGTTTTTCAATTCGCTTGGAATTTTTAAGTCCAATGTTGATTAATTTATTTGCCGCGTTCGTTAGCGAAATGAGTTTTGCTATCCCTCAGCAAGGACACAGAATGGACATCGACATCGACATCGCAATGTGTCATGCAACGTGCCTATTTCCCTGCACTCCTTCCCTCTCTCTCTTAAATAATTTAAATCAAGATGTTATTGGCGCTGGCAACAACAATTACAGCACAAAAACAAGACTGCTCTAGTCGGCAGTGCCCAACTAGAAGTTACCCTGCACCCAGGGTCAAGTTGTCATTACAAATGTTCCAATTTCTTTCGACATATTTCTACATACCAAAAAAACACACTTTATATAGCGAATGTGCTTCCTCTTCATTCCTTTGTCCTACACTGGCTATAGCGATTTCGTCGGTGTTTATAGTCCGATCTATATTGAACTTTCAGGTCTTAAATATGGCAAGCAAATGTATGATTTATACCAAAGCAAAAGTCTTTAGCTTCAAAAAAGATTTTAATTATTTCAAAAATTGACGAAGTTTTTATTTGTATACTCTATACTGTAGTCGGGTATATCAAACTCTACATTTTTACCTCATACTTAAAAAAGCTAAGTCTCAATATCGGTTTGTATCGATATTTGTAGCCTACGTCCAGATGGGACCGACTCAACACTTTGCCCTGATGAAGAATATATATTCTTAATGGTATCGGCAATGCTACCTTCTACCCTCTTACATACATTTCCACAAAACAAATATACCCTTTGTACCTATTTCGATGGGTTCAGTCTATAAAATGTGCTACAATGGTGGGAAATTTACCTTAAATACCATATAATAAAGCCAGAAACAAAAGAACTGAGAAGGAAGTAAGGCAGCAGGACATTGGACAAACGACATATGTGATTCGTATGAAAATAAAAATAGGAATATGTATTTGTATATGGCCAAAGTGTTGCCCAGTTGTGCGGCTACAAAGTTTTATGTACATGCATGTACAATAAATAAGTTCTTTTTGTTAATGGACACAATTTAATACTCGTAATCTCAGTCTAGATGTGTACATATGTATGTTTACTTTATTGCCATATTATATGAAGTTAAACATCATTAATACATAATTCATATGTTTAAGACTTATATCATATTCCTCTAAAACTGGTATTCTTATTATATTTTAGGCTTAAGATCACTAAAAAAAACAGCTTTCCTTAAAGACTACACCTAGACAGCGGAATATGTCGTTATAAAATCCTCTTCATTCATATAGATAATCTTTCAATCTCTCTAAAATCTGTTACTTTACGTATATCTGTTGAAAGAACTGGAGAGGTGTTTCACATGCCACCTGAACATTTCTCTGCTGCCGCACAGGTCAGCTTATTTTTACTATTTACTCGTATTGGAGTCGTCATTTTGGTTGATTGCTTTGTACTTCAGGACCCAGACCCAGAGACACCTCCTTCGTAGCGCCCCGGATAGCAGACATTTGCCTTTTGGTGGTGCTGCTCCTTGGCTGGCAACTTCAAGTTGACTTCCTGTTTGTGGGCCAGTTTCTGCGCCAACAAACTGAAAAATTTGCATAGGTCACGAGTTCAGGTTCCAGCGCCCAAAGGAGTGCAATGTCTGACAATGTTATATACATACGTACCTCTACATATATGTGTATAAATAAGCAAGTCATAAATTACTGACCAGTCCAGGGGCAAGTGCCAAGTCCTGCGCTCTCTTTAAACTTGTGTAGCAAGAAGGCTTTAATTCTACTTGTGCGATTAAAAGTGGGCTATGCGCTTAGCTCCTCCATCCAATGACCCAAAAGTGTACTGAACTTAACGGAAATTGATTCGAATCGGAGATGACTTGACAAGCATTCGCGCCCCCATTGAGATGTGGGTGCAGCACACAAATTTGATGTTTATCGCCTGAACAGTGCAACAGATTTCGGTATAAATAAGTATGAATACACGAGTGGGGGAGAAGTGTGCTCAGCTAGCCAAGAAGTAGTCGTCGCAGGTTTGTTGAACTAGGTCGAGGTTTACTAATTGCCTTCGTCTCCGCTTTGACTCACTCCAGACCCGTCGTGCCGCCGCCAGAGCCCTACATGAACATGATGTATGACCGTCGCGTCATAAAGGGAAGCAACTTTGGTACCCCGTCAATGCTGGTGAGTGTTAAGACCGGCAGCAGCCCTGACCCGTGAGTAATCGCTTTCGATTTGCAGGCGGAGGTGGATCCGTTCGACAAGGCTGCGGAGATACGGCGCCGCAATATGCTCCGCAAGCGATCGATGCAGTGCCGCAATCAGCGCAATGTCCTGGGCACACCACCTCCAGTGAAGGGCAGGAAGCACGAAAATATACAGACAGAAAAATACTTGGAGAAATTGGTTCAACGTCCGCCGGAGTACTCAGTAGACACACAAACAGATTTGTTCCTGGAGAAGCCGCCTACGCCTCCATATGTTGCCGCCAAAGTGGGCGTTGATGTGGGCACCGAGATTGGCGACGGCGAACTCTTTCACTTTGATGCAGAAGCTCAGCCGATTATTGATGTACTCGTGGATGCCTGCATAGAGCAGAGCATGCTGGAAGTGGCTCACGAAATGGAATTGGCAGCGCTGCGCCGCAAGCAGGAGGAGTACGTACAAAGAAATTAGTTTTAAAAAATGTAAGCTATTAACACATTTCTCATTACAGGTTCCTGGCTCAACGCGAGGCTGAGCTCGCTGAGCTGCGACGTTTGGAAGCCGAGGAGCTGCGTTTGCAGGCTGAGAAGGATCGCCGCTTGCGCCAGGATGCCATTGCCAAGGAGCTGGACGAGGAGATGCAGAAGAGCGTAACGGCCGCTAAGTTATTGCAGGGACACATTGCCAGCCTGGTGCCAGAGGTGCTGGAGAACATTGAGCCGGCCAGCGATGCTGTCAAGAAGGAGCAACTAACGAAGGACATCTGCCCCTGGCTATCTGCTGAGGTTGCCCAAGAAGTGGGCCACATTGTGGACTCTCGCGAGATACTCACAGCCATCATACTGGAGATTATCAAACAGCGTGCAGCTGCTTACATCGACTACAAAGAAGAGGAGACCGAGCCATCATCGTCAGATGTCGGCATTTGTGAAGAGGAGGGATGCATGCTCGACGATATGGAGACATGCCCATACGAGCCGGAAATTGAATATTCTGATTGTCCAGAGCCGCCGCCAGAGCCACCACATCTGTAAGGAGGACAGCAATTATAAATAAAATAAGATATGATTTGGTTAACTTCAGTTTTGAGTTTGAGGCGCGCCCGTTGGTCGTTAAGTGCATACTAACAAATCCAAAGTGCAGCTTTGTTATTGTGTCTGGCAACAAGCGGGCGTGCCTCGGCCGCCGCATGTTGCCACACACAATTCCATTGGCGCGAATATTGTTGCATCAAAAGTAAGCAAATATTGTTAAAGGTTTATGTTTTACCGGAGTATTCAACAATAAAGACAAAAAAAAAAATTAAAAGCTAAACGTAATTGCTGGAAGCCGTTACAAGACAGTGTTGTAAACCAAACAATTTACCACAAATATTGGTATTTTTATGATATGTTTGGTATTATTTGGCTTGCCTGTCTACAGCCACACCGAACAATCAAAACAGTCCAGCATGTCCAAAATATTCACACCTACAAATCAAATACGTCTTACAAATGTGGCCATTGTGAGGCTAAAGAAGGCTGGAAAGCGCTTTGAGATCGCCTGCTATAAAAACAAGGTGCTGTCCTGGCGCAACAACAGGTAAAATAATGCAAGCATGCGAGATATGCATGACTCACAAACTGAACCGATTTCCACAGCGAAAAGGACATCGATGAGGTGCTGCAGACGCACACCATCTTCACTAATGTGTCCAAGGGACAGACAGCTAAAAAGGATGAGCTGGTGAAGGCATTCGGCGCCAAGGATGAAACTGAAATTTGTAAGGAAATCTTGAGCAAAGGCGAACTGCAGGTGTCAGAGAAGGAGCGACACAGTGTGCTGGACTCACAGCTCAATAGCATAGTCAACAGTGTAGCAGCACTTTGCGTAAATCCCGAAACACGTCGTCCGTATCCGGCCTCCATCATAGAGAAGTCTCTGAAGGATGCACACTTCTCCGTCAAGATGAACAAGAACACCAAGCAGAACACTCTGGAGGCAATCAAAATGCTGCGCGACCATATGCCCATAGAGCGCTCGCGCATGAAGCTGCGTGTGAGCTTTGCCGGCAAGGAGGGAAGCGGTAAGTTAAAGGATGCGGTTGTCAAGCTGGCCAACGCCGTCGAGCACGAAGAATGGGAGGAATCAACGCTGCATCTGACGCTGCTCATCGATCCCGGCCAGTATCGCGTCATAGACGAGCTGGTGCGCAATGAAACCAAGGGCAAAGGCCTATTGGAGCTGCTCGAACTCAAGGAAGTTGTTGAGAGCGATGAGCTGTTCTAGACATTAAACGACTTGTATAAAATATATAATTGATTATTATTGTTAACAAAATTTTGAATGCATAAAGATTAAAACTGTAGGGCGTGAGTGTTGGCAGTTGCTTCACTTTCGCTTCTTCAAGTTTTCAAATCGGCGCGACAGTTCATCAAAGTCAATTTCATCGTCATCCCCGCGCTTGTCCCCGCCTGGCACATCCGGCAAATCGTTCGGCACGTTGGGCAGCGATGGCAAATCCATCGGTGGCGGTGCGCTGGGCTGCTCCGGTCCGCCGGGCGGCAGCTTTGATCGAGGTTGAGGTTTCGGTTTGTTGGCATTCTGCAGCGAGAAAGGCAATTATCAGTACATGATTTTCTTGTGATTCAGGTGTAAATAGAAATCGTGTGCGTCGTTGCGACGTATGGGTCAAGAGCGAGTCGCTGACCTGCAAATTAACGGGATTAATCGAGGAGTAACGTGGCGGTGGATCATTTTGCGGTTTGGGGCGCTGTTATGCAAAATAAAAAGTTCAGTAAATAAAATCATAAATAATGAAATCATATATAATCATAAGCGGCAATAGCAGGAAGAATAGAAAGCTGACACCACGACCATGACTCATTGTGTTCTCTACACTTACACGCACATTCGTGACGCCACAAAGACAACGAGACAACGGAGCGACGATACGTTTGGGTTATAGTAAGTAAAGGGGGGTAAACGAAAAGCAAGTTAGTTTTGGCCCATGTCCAGGCATACTACGCGTCGCTAACGTACCAAAATATTCTCGTCCGGACTGCCAGAGCCATCCGACTCACCGTTGTTGGTTTTAGTTTCGTGCTAAAATTGCACAATCATGCAAGGACATGCAGAAAGCTCAGCATTGAAAATACAGCATTAACCATTTACTTACATTTATAAAATTCGTATTCAAATCCTTCTCTTCTGCGCACTTGCCCTGCGCCGAAGTCGATGCCGGCGGCTGATTGGGCGGTATATTATATGCAAATGGTGGCGGCGGCTGAATCGGAGATGGAGCGGCACAGGCTCCTCCACCAACACCACCACCACCGCCGCCGCCGCCGCTGCCACCAAAGGGCGGATAGTTGAATGGCTTACTGCTGGGCGGCAGTGGCATATCTGGCAGCTGTGGCATTGCTGGGTAGCCAATGAAGCCCATTTGGGGCGGAGCAGGCGCGCCTCCGCCGCCGCCGCCGCCACCACTAAGATTATTGCGATCTGACAAATCGATTAGATGATGCTGCTGATCGGGCTTTTGCTCCTCCTGCATGACCTGTGGATCAGGCTCGTATTCGATGTTGTAGTTCTTGGCAATGGCTATTAAGTAGTTCTCCACAAGCAGCTTGGGCGGCGCCTGGAGCGTCAGCTTGTGCATCAGCTTCTCCGAGACAAAATGCTCACCGGTGGCGGTGCGCGAATGCTCCGCAAACTGTGGCCCATACTTCTGGATAAAGATGTCAGAGATGATCTTCAGCTCGCCAATGTCGCTCTGCAAGCGAGGGCACACCCAAACAAGGCTTGACACCGGCTCGGCTATGCCAGCATCCAGCTCCTTCATTTGCTGTATCAAGCCAAAGCGTGCCAGCAACAGATCGCAGTACATTTCCACAATTTCCATGGCCTCCACCAGATAATCCTCACTGTAAATGGTTTAGAATATATTCAGACTTGTCAGCTGGCCATTGGAATAGGCAAATAACCTACCGTATAATATGCTCCACTCGTATGCGTGCCCGTTCTATTTTACCTGTAGCGAGGTAGTCGGCTATTTCCTTGCGGGACTTTTGCGTGAGCTCCGCCTTCTTTTTTTCTAGCAACTTGAGACGATTCTGCGCTAGGCGCAGATTTGTCTTGAGTTTGTTATAGTTGGGGCCACTGGAGAACATCTTGTCACCTGTAGCTGAATTCAGTCAGTGTCTACTATTTACAATAATTTTCTCTTTATGGATGATTCACTTGATTAGGGAAAAACAAACTCTTTGTGTGACGTCACGGGCTGGTGCTGCCAACTATTGGGAACAAAATACATTAAATTTTGCTTAACAAAAAAACCGTTGGGATATCTAATATCAAAGATTCATCAAAAATAATAATTCCTAATAATCTTTTGAATTTTAACAACTGTCATGCTAGCTTATCTCATCTTTTCTTAGAACAAATTTAGATATTTTTATTAAAAACCAGGCAATCTTATTAAAATAAAAGATTTGTTTTATTGTTTAATGAATATGCACGTAATTTTATTATTATAAGCTTTTCAACAAATTCATGTAAGGAGAAATACAAAATTTTAAAAATATATCTATAATTAAATAAAAAGTGATAGCGATCGGTAACTATATAATGTAAGGGATTTTATCAAATACCACCGTTTAAGTATACACCTAAGTGTGCAGCCCTGCCAACTCGACCGAAATGTATAGCTGCGTATTTTTACCACACTACTATGCTGTGTGTTGTTGGCTTCATCTTCCTCTTCAAAATAATTCGCAAGAGCTGCGCGCTCCTTTCGCGCTGCACAAGACTTTGTTCAAATTGCCATTAATTCGGATTTTAATTACCAAAACAATTAGTGCATTAAGACAAGGCAACCATGCGGACAATGTGTTTTATAAAGGCAAAAGTGTCGCACGCGCGATTAGTCAGGAAAATTGTGAAAATTAAGAAAACTCCAGTGATAAGTGGCTTTCGGGCATTTAGTGGTCCCCCAAAATTCACTCAGCGCCCTACATGCCAACTAGAGGTACCACTATACATTAGACGTAAACGCGCCAGAAGTAGACGTCGATAAAAGTGCAAAACAAAACACAACGCTGAAAATATTTGTAAACAGCTGTCGGCCAAACTGCCGCCAGATGGCGCCGCCTCGCCTCGCTTGTTGGCATTGCCAGCTGCAAGTAAACGCCATATTTGATTCTGCCTCGTCGCTTTGGTGTTTGTTAAAGAAAGCGAATTTTCATACAAACAGCATAATTTGATGCTGATGCATATTGTGACTGAAATTTAAAAATAAAAGAAAATGATTTGAATATTACGTGCGAATGAGTGTGCGTTTTATATCGTGAGTTGTATAGCAACAACTGGCCAAGGCCCAGAAAGGTAAAAAAAAGATGATGCGAAAAGGAAAATTGCGCTGCTGCCTTACGAGGCATGTGACGTCACAGACACACACGCACTCACTGCGTACAAAATAATTCATGGCACAAAACCAACTACAACGTGTCCCTTTTGCAGCGTTTGCCATGGAACAATACATCGTACATAGCAACAGTGAGGACATGGACATGAAGCCCGTCTACTCGGACCTGCAAGTGGTGCAAGTACCGCACGACGAAGTCAGTGTAAGTACAATAACATGAACCGACCGAGCTGAACTCTGACTTAAAGTATCTCGCCCGACAGTCTCTCGTCCTGCAGGACGATCAGCAACTGGTGTTCAGTGATCAGCAGCAAGTTGTCTACCAGACCGCCGCCCCCGCGCAGTATCAACAACCGCAGCAGACGACAACCGCGAGTCACTACATTATAGGCGCCGAGCTGCAGCAGCAACAGCAGCAGCAGCAGGAAGTGCAGCAACAACAGCAGCAGCAGCAGCAGGTGGTTATGCACCATCAGCATCAGCAGGTGCACTACCAGCAGCAACAGCAGGAGGTCCAGCAGCAGCAGCAGCAACAGTTGCGTCTGGAGCAACAGCAGCAATATGTGCAACAACAGCCCGCCATTCAGCACACGCAACAAATCTATTACACATCAGACCAAGTGCTGCAGCCCAATACCATTGTGCAGCATGCATCCATGCAGCAGCTGCAACAGCAGCAGCAACAGAAGAAACAGCAGCAACAGCAAGTGCTGCAACAGCAACACCAGCAACAGTACCAACAGCAGCAGCAGCAGCACACCGCCTATCAACAGCAAACCACGTCGCTGGTGCAGGCCACTCCTCAACAGCAGCAGCAGCAGCAGTTGCTGCAGAGCCCGCAGCATCAGCAGCAAACGCTGCAGCTGCAAACGGCACCAGCGCAACAGCAGCAGCCGCAACAACATCCGCAGATTGTCTACCGCATGACGACCACGCAACAACAGCAGCGCCAAATAAGCGTAAGCATTTTGAATAAGACACCTCATAAGAACCCTTTATGGAAATGGGCTACGGACGTAAGCAATTCCTTGATGGGTACAAAAATGTATGTGTATCAGAATCGTGCTCATATCTCTATAGATTTTCAAAAAATATCCAATAATTCGACCCATAAAATGATTAAATTGAAGGCCGTAGTTGAATTGAATTTTCTTCGAAAACCGGCCAATCAATTGATTAGAATTGTTTGCAAATTTCAGTTACCTCTTTTTAATTAGTTCGTTTTTATTTGGTCGCGTTTTCCGAGCTGCGCGTTTCAGACCCAAGTATACTATTAATACACAAGAACAAAAGGGACGAGTTAAGATCTTAAAAGGAGCTCTTAACTCGACGAGCTGAAAAGGGAAACTGAAAGTAGTTTATGACAGTAGAATGATTACATCAAAGGCCGAGTTGATTGTTAGTAATCGGCATGTTCGTAACGAGCTGTTAATCTTTATTATGACAGCTCTCTCAGCCTACGACAAGTCGAACTTTATACTTTTATTATTCAACAAATGAGAAACAACAAATAATTCATTAAGAAAAACATCCTAGTCCCAATGACTGCCCCATATTAGTCTCAGTTTCTCTGGTTTCGGAAATGCATTGATATTATTTAGGTTTATGTGTGAGTTGTGTCGACAAAGAAAACAATACGATATATAGACTAATGCGAATAATTTGCTTGCAGATGCTCAACAACACGCATGTGATTGTGCAACAGCCGACAGGACAGCAGGTGTTGATACAGGCCCCACAGCACCAGGAGCTGATTATGCGACAGGCCACTGGCATTCCACAGCAGGGTATCAATATTCACGCGTACAACAATCGAGTAGTGTACACCACCTCGCCCCAGCAACAGCAACAACAGCAGCACGTACTGCAACAACACGTGCAGCAGCAGCAGCAGCAGCAACAACAACTACATCTACAGGCCCAGACCACACATCTTGTGCAGACGCGCGTCGTGCCGCAGCAAACAGGCAACGTCGTCTATCAGCAAGTGCAATTGCCCAAACCGCCACTGCAGCAGCAACAGCAGCCGCAGCCACAGCAGCAGCAACAACAGCAGCAGCAGCAACAAGGACAGGTGCAGGTGCAGCAGCAGCAGTCACAGCTGGTGACCACAGCCACAGGAGCACAACTGGTGCGCTCACCATTCCGCGGTAAAGCAACGCGTGGAAGTGCCGTCATTGCCAGACAACCCATTGGAACTGCGGTAACAACGCGTGCGGCTTTGGCGCCCACTCTGGTGCGGCAAATGCGACCTCGTGGCGGCCTTCAGACCGTAACGGGTGGCATTGTGAGAAGTGTGCGGCAGCCGGGAGTGCGACCCACTCGCACGCAGCTGGTGGTACAGACAAGCGCTGCCGGCGAGGGCCAGACAATGCAGCTGGTGACCCAGCCACAGATGGCCAAGCAAATTACTATAACGAATCTGGGCCAGCCCACAGTGACGGCGCCGGGCCAGCAGATGCAGCCGCGACATATATATCGCCAAGTGGTCAGCGAGCCGTCTGCCAATGCTCAGCAGCAACATCAACAGATGGTCGTGATGCGTCAACCGCCGTTGCGCTATCGGACCGCTTCGGCGCCAACGGCGGCAGCGCCTGCACCCAATAGCAACACGATGGGCTTGGATCTGGAGGAGAGCATACAGGCGGTGGTGGTAAAGAAAGAGCAACAGCAGCAAAAGCCAGCGGCCAATCTGCCTATGCAGCTCGCAACGGGCGGCAACACCACGTTGACCACCTACTACCAGCAGAGCTCGGCCGCCAACAGCAGCAGCGAAGAGGAGCAGCAGCAGCAGCAGCCCCCGCAACAGCAACAACAACAACAGCAACTACAACAGGCTCAGCAGCCTGGTGTGCGCACTGCCAGCGGATCCAGCATGAGCCTGGCAGAATACAAGAAGCGTCAAACCATGGCAAGTTCACCGGCTCCTACGGCCACGGGCACCGCTGGACTCACGACCATGCGAACGGCAGCGCCTGCCACTCTGGTGCGGTCGGTGCCCAAGTTGACGCAGACTGCGCCGCAGCCTCAGGCAACACAGCAGCAGCAACAACAACAACAACAACAGCAGCAGCAGCAACAACCCAACGCAGCTGCCGCACCGCGCATTATGCAACCTCAGCAGCGGGTACTTGCCACAGCGCCACCCCAGCCACAGCCGCAGGCGTCGTCCGTGCAACAAACATCGCACAACAACTACGAGATTCATTCGCAGCACGTGCTGAATAATCGCGCCGGTCAGCCCATTGCGGATCGCGATCGCAACAGCGCCAAAATGTTGGTCATTCTCGCCTCCGGGGAGCAGCGTCTGATAACGTTTACACTGCCGCGGGAGTCGTGTACCGTGCAGGATCTGCTGGAGCAGGTTTGCGTGCCTTTCGACAACAGCACCACCATCCAATGCGTGGAGCATCACGGCGCCAATGTCGACTTCGTAGTCACCGTGGGCTTTTCCGTCAACGAATCTGCCAGTGAACTGATTTCACGCGCTGAGGAGAGTCTCCAAATGAATCGACAGCAGGAGAACGCCGCCGCAGCAGCAACTACAACGCCTGCCTACAATCAACAGCCGACAACAGCGGCCAGTGCAGCAGCTGCCGAGCAGGTTAAGCGAGATGCAACAGCCGCCAGCACAGGCAGTTCTTCCACGGCTGTGATTGCGCCATCGGAAGGACCCAAGCTCATTGACGGCTTCTATGCCGTCTGCCAGCTGTGCGGCTTTACGGGCATGGACCATGCCAAGTGTGAACGATGTAAACGAGTATTCCAGGAGCCGCCCAAACGCAAATCCTATGTAACCAAGTCTTCGAATGCCTCCGTGGCTTCCATAGCTGGCGCAGGCACATTGGCGGGCGAGCCGGCGACAGCGGCAGACAAGAAACGTGAACTGGCACGTCTCAACAAACAGGTGGGCGGCGTTGGTGGCACTTTC